CGAGGTGGTTGTGTTAGGTACCAAGGCAGAGCAGTTGGAAAACAACAGGCTGGACACGACTTTGGCCAAGATTGCCTTTTCAAGCGGGCTCGCTAGAAGCCCGAAGCTAGCCGTTCTGGAAACCAACCTGATGGAATATCTACAAGACGCTGATACCATGACCAACGTGTTAATAGGAGGCTCGCAGCACAAACTGAACCGGGGTTCTGTTCTGAAAATGACAGGCCAGCTGTTAGGATTGCGAGCGTTGTTGAACCATTACTCTGATATCACCGAAGAGCTTCCGGATATGTTCTGGGATTCGGAATATAAGCTCGAAGAGTACTATAATCAAATGGGTACTGCCTTGGCAGTGCGGCAAAGGATCGCGATTTTGAACAGGAGGATCGACTACGCAAACGAGAACCTGACTGTTCTGAGGGAAATGATAAGCGAAACATCTGGACACAGGCTGGAGTGGATCATCATATGGCTGATCACCATTGAGGTTCTATTCGAGCTGAGAAGAGTATATCATGAGGAATTTAGCAAAAAGACTTCAAACGAAGTAAAGGCTAACGCAGACTAGGGGGGTGCTTTGTTTGTCTTCCTCGCGCGGTTTGCCATGTAAAATATTTGCTACGTTATAACAAACTTCATGATACCCACCTCAGCCAGACTATATATTATTGTTTATTGTTCTAGGCACAAAAGCATTGTGCACCTTGTCATCTTAACTTTGCTCTTGCCCTCCACACAGACTAGAAGGGAGACACTTGCCCCAGTGCCAGTGCAAAGCTATACCTACCTTATAGATTCAACAATCTATTTTGTCAAAAATCTTCCTCGATCTAAATTTTTTTTTTTCCATCTGGTTTGTTGCCCTATGCTGCGCGGCAGTCCACCAGCTTATTGTCCGTTTACTTGCACATACCTCCTATGCATCCTAGCGCACAATCACCTTGCTATTTTCCCGGTTCTCTCTATTGTTCAGCATGTCATCCTCTATTCTTGGACCTTGCCAACCACCAGACTCTACCTACGCCATTATTTTTCTTGGATACCCACTTGTCAAGGTAGATTTGCTATATAAACCAAGGACTTCACTTTCCTCGACCACGAAATTATTTTTCTCCTCAGTCAAAACCTTATAACAGGCTTGAACACGTACAATTCTAAAACAACCTTTTTTATGTTTCTCGCAGCTTCTATTCACAGAACTTGACACCAGAGAGCTTTATACCAGTTCAAATCGAACAAAGCAAAATGGCATCCAGCTGGGAAGAGTATGTTGGCGATACCAAATATGCCCCCTTATCTCCTTTAAAGATAAAGAAATTTTGACGAGCCAGATATTAACATTATCGCAGGATCATCTGCTCTCCGCCTCTCAAGTTCGTCGTCGGACCTGAGCTAAAGCAGTTCACGCTTCACTCAGGGGCAGTCAAGTATCTATCCACCAAGCTCGACACGTACATCTTCCTTCAGGAGATGGCGTATGAAGAAGGAGAAGACAGTCGTCCGATCGATTGGCTAGACGTCAACGTAGAGACGTTCCTGCGCTTCGCACATTTCGTCTACACGGGCGAGTACAACGTCCCGGTGCCGTCTTCGCCCAGCCAAGACAACGATGACGACTACGACAACAACGCCGCCGTCGCCACCACCACCTCCTCCGAAGGGGACCACAACCACAACGGTACGGTCCAAGCCCGCACTACGTTTAACAGACGTATCGGCCCGTACCACTCGCTGGATTCCTGGCACGAGGTCCTGCGGCACAACCCGCACAAGCGCCCGGCCCCGGAACAGGGGGGGCAACAGGCACAGCAGTACGACCTGCTGCGCGAGTTCTGCGCGCTCCCGTACGCCGCCGCCACCGTCGCCGCCACCACCGCCGCGCCCCCGGACGACCACGACCCGTACCCGGACTTCGACAGCACGACGCTGCTCGCGCACGCGCGCCTCTTCGCGCTCGCCGCGCGGAACCGCGTGCCGTCGCTGCGCCGCGCCGCGCTCGACGGCATCTACCGGCTCCTGCGGTACGGGGACTTCCTGTACGACCGGGTCGAGGACGTCGTGGCGCTCGTGGACTTCGCCTTCGCGCCGCTGCGCAGCGGGGACTACGGGGATCACGATGGCGATGTCGGCGGGGGCGAGGCCGGGCTGGTCTACCAGTTCGAGGAGGAGGAGCCCGACGGGGACGACGCGCTCCGGGACATGGTCACCCTGTACGGGGCCTGCGTGTACGGGGTGTTCCTGCTGCACCCGAGCTTCGTGGCCGTGTGTCGGGAGCACGGCGAGTTCTCGGCTGGGATGCTCGACTGGCTGCGAGGTGAAGACGGGGCTTCGCTGGGTGTGGGAAACGGCGACGCAGAGGCTGAGGGTCCGGGCGAGAGCCTGGAGGACATCATAGATGACCTGGCCGAGGAACAGCACGGCGACTGGGGAACCTACGAGGATTGGTGGGATGTGTGTGGCTAACTTACCTACGCCATGACGGACTCGCTCGGGACACGAGCAGAGATCCTCGCCAATGGTGTCGTACCTGCACAACGCCCCTGGGTCTTCCCCTTATCGAGGCTCGAGTGACCACAGGATGGAGCTATTTTGGATACTTTTTTAAAAGCGGCTAATAGCGGGCATGAAGGAGTGGACCAGCGAATCGTATATTACAGATATATATCTAAGCAATTGTATTTAGCATCCAGTATTCAAACAGCGTACAAACCATACAAATCCCCAGCATAAAGCTCTACAGCAAAGCCGACAACAGTGACATTCCTTTTTTGCGTTCCCGTCTTAACCAGTATCTACCCACCTCACCTAGCCAGTCCACCTGAGACACCTCCCCCGCGGCTTCCCGGCATGCTCGTAGACGACCATGACCTCGCCGTCCCCCGTGCGCAGGATCCCGGGCCAGAACGACGGCGCCCCGTGCACGACGACGGGGCGCTCGCTCCAGCGCGCGCGGCCGCCCCGGAGCCCGTCCGAGAAGACCACCTTGACGGCGGCCCCCCGCGGCCAGTCGACGGGCGCGCCAGTGCCGGCGCCGGTGGCGTCCTCGTCCGTCATGAACGCGACCGCTATCCTGCCGCCCCCGCACGCCGCGATCTGCGGCGCCCCCGCGTTGCGCCCGGGCCTTCGGGGGCAGTACACGACGCCGCGGTCGCCCCAGGCGCGGCCCCCGTCGTACGAGACGGCGTACTCGACGCTGAACAGCGGCGCGCGCCGCGTCGTCTCGAACACCATTACCAGGGCCTCGCGGTGGCCGCGACCGCTGTCGCGCACGCTCGCGACGCCCTGCATGCCGTCGCGCAGGCGCTCGCGCTCGGGGTGGCAGCGCAGGCACCGCGGGGGCCGCGACCACGTGAGCCCGCCGTCCGCCGAGTCGACGCGGAAGGTCTCCTGGTCGTCGTGCGCGAGCTCGGCCGAGTACGTGAGCTGGACGTGGCCGGGGCGGTGGTCGCCGTCGAGGCGCATGAACGGCTCCCAGAGGCCGAGGCCGCGGCGGGCGGCTGCGGCGTGCTCGGCGGCCTGCGCCGCGAACGCCCACGTGCGCCCGCCGTCGAGGCTGCGGCACACCGTGATGCGGAAGTGCGTGTACGCGCGCGAGGCCGGGTCGCGGTCGTGGTTGCGGAACGCGGCCAGCACCGTCGGCGGGTCCGACGTGCCGCCCGTGCCCGTGCCCGGGCCCGGCACCTCGAGCAGGAAGGCATTGTCCACGTCGCCGGCGCCGCGCGTCACCTCGCTGTACGGCTGGAACGTGCGCCCCCCGTCGACGCTGCGCGACACCTGCAGGATGTGCACCGGCCCCGCGAACCCCGTGCTCGCGCACAGGATGCTGCCGTCGGACAGCTGGCACAGGCGCGGGTACGTCCCGCCGTGATGGAGAAAGCGCTCTTCGGATTCGACGGCCCAGCGGCCGTGGCCGTGGTCGTGGCCGCCGCCGCCGCCTCCTGCCCCTTCTCGGCCGGGACGATGCGCGCGTGCCGCGTCGATGCGATCGAGAATTTTCTGGGCGATCTTTCCGGCCATCTTATGATATTACTCTCTTTCTGCCTTGTCTTGTCTCTCTTCTTTCCTCCCCTTCTAGTAGCTCGTAGGTAGTGATGAGGTTTACGAATAGACAATGAACAATGAGAAGGGAAAAGGGGGGGAACTTGAGGGGGGAGACCCTAGGTAGGTACACTTACGGTTTTGTTTCAGGCTCGGCGTTGGAACATCTCCATGTTTTCGTCATATCGTACACGCAATTTGCCCCGCAATATCCGTCCGGAGTATACTCGTAAGGTGTTTAGGTATTTCCTCTTCTGGCCAGCATAAGCCAATGACGTTGATGTCTGGTAATTTGGACAGCAACTAACGGTTAGGGGAAGGGGGCTGAGGGGCTAGGTACCTCCAGTCTTACATAAGTACATACACAACGTACAAGTACCTAGTATGGATGTATAGGTAGGTACAACATCTCGCCTTACATGTATATAAGAATTACAGGTACATGTATTGTGTAGGTTTTAGTAACTCCTTTCCTTCATGTTTGACGATACCTCATACCAGCAATCTTCGATCAATGATTTCAACTCTCAAAGTCCCGAAGCGAAGGCCACAGGAGTAGGTTAAAGCAAATAATGAGGATATGCACGCATTCATTATTATGCATTCATGTAAACGAGTCAGTAATCCATTGAACATTCCCATAGCTACAAACTGTTAACTTCTCGACGCTTTTGAATCTACCTCCAAATAGCATTTAATACTCTCCCTAGAACATACCTACCAACATTCAATAGGCCTCTTTTTTCGAACCTCGGGGAACTCTCAGAAAAGAGACCCCTTTCAATTTTAACATAATTACCAGCTGAATCCACCCAGTTCTAAACTACTACTCGGCTTCTAATAGATCCGCAGTGGCTAAGCTAGAAACACCCGAACTTCAGAGTCCGGTCGGCGACGACTCAACCCTTTGATCTCGTACAACTTTGCCCCTGGATGAATTCCACAGATTCATCCAAGATGCCGGTGAGATGGCCGAGTGGTTATGGCGCTGCGTTCAGGTTACAACTTGAATCATGATAGAAATATCGCAGTGGAGCAATCCGCGTGGGTTCGAGTCCCACTCTCATCAATGATTATATTTTTGTTATACTCTTGCCAATTAGTTGGCTCTTACTTAGTTCAAACAAGTTACCTACCTAGGCGAGTATGTGTTATAAGACAGATTTGTTAACCCTCATGGGTCGAGCGTGTATATTAGACTTTTACATTTTAACATAGAAAGAGGGCCATTTCACCCATTTATATTAAATATCTTCGCAAAATCTTTTAAAAGGAAGCATAAACACACGTAGTAATAATAATGATAACAACAATAGTAATACTAACACTAAGACAGAAAAGTCAACTCTCTTCCTTTCCCTCTCTTACTACATTTTATCCATCCATGCTATTAAAAAAAGGGGGGGGGCCAGGGATTAAGCCAACCCCTCCCTCCTGAATATCTTCGCCATCCATGACTCCGGTTCCCTAGTTCTTGGTTTTTGCCCCTCTACTACACAGTTAAGGGGGAGGATTTGAGGTTTGGGCGGGGAATAAGACCCCTTCCCCAAAAAGATAGCAACGGGGTTATTAAAACAAAACGATTCGTCGAAGCGCTTTTTAGTAAGAAACCAGTGAAAAAAAAATCCAACATCCCCAAAACCTCTTTAGTGTCACATGTTCCTCTTGTCTCTATGTTCTCAAAGCGCATCACATTTGTAGTGTAAAATAACAAGATTTCGCCCCCCGTTTCACTCCCGCAGATACACGAGTAGCTGCAATCCGGATATCAGAAAATCAATGTCGGCCCGCACCCGTCAATGAAAAACCCCTTTGGCTGCTTCACTCCCCATTTTGTAGTACTAGCTCATTGGACCACGCCGTGGCCATCTCCTGTTGTTTATCTGTCCTGGATGCGACCTAGTGTGCCCATAGTAACTGCTAATCCTTGGAAGTGTAGAAGAAAGTAAAAGATCTGGTTGCGACGCAGAAGTCCTCTAAGCTTCTTTGCTAGCCGCTGGAGGGCCGCCATTCGCTACTGGCCCTGTAGACACCATGGCTGGACTACCATTCAGCGCAGGAGGAGCGCTCATGCCGGGCGAGTTGAGTTGCGGCTTAGGGCTAGGACTAGATGCCGAATAGTTGACACCGCTGGGCATGTTGGCTCTAGCAGCCACCATCCTATTCGGATCCTGACCGAGACCGATACCACCTAATCCAACTGGAGCGCCGACATGGCCCTGGACGGGACCGGCACCCTGACCCTGGTTAGACACTGAATTTCTGAGGCCCTCATTAGATCGCTGGGCGCTCTTCTGGGCGTCGAAACGCGCTTTCGCCTGATCCATTGCCTGCTGCACCTGGTGAGGATTCAGAGATGTATGAAATGACGAGTTTGGCTGGTTCTGGTTAGGATTCGGGGGAGGCTGAGGCTGAGGCTGAGGCTGACTCTGGTGGTTCTGCATGAGTGGCTGACCTGCAGGCGAATAATAACGCCTAGATGGGTCGTTTGCCATGTTAGGTTGGCCACCGTAAGAAACCTGTCGCGATGGTGTCGGAGAAGGGTGGTAGCCTTGTTGGGGTATATGAGTGTGCTGAGGCTGTGGATGATGGACGTGTGGAGATGCGGTTCTCTGAGGCATAGCTCCAGCACCATTAGGATAGTGGCCGTACGTAGCATGCGACGGAGTACCATGTTGCGGATGAGGTGTCTGGTAGGGTTGGTGATGATAAGTAGGTGCCGCAGTATTCGGAGTGTGAGGGTAAGAAGGATAGCGGGCCTGCGGATTGTAACCTTGCATATGCGGCTGATACGGCGGGCGGCTCTGTGTCGGTGTTCCTGCGTATGAGCCGGGCTGGGCGTATGAAGCCGGCGGCTTGGCAAATTGCTGCGTGTAGCCCGTGTTCGGGTAGCCACCCGGCGGCCGATAACCTGTATTGGAAGGGGGTCGTTGAGGATAAGCGGCCGGTATCGTCTGCGGGGGTCGTTGCAAGTTCGGTTGAGGAGGACGAACCGGCGTCTGTGGACCGTAATATGGGGGATTGGACATTGGCGCACGATTCGCGTTCGTGTGATACTGCTGACCATACTGTATGCTGTTCGACGTACTTGAAGATCGATGCGAGGTTGGGCGTGCGCTTGCTGCGGCAGCCTGCGCAGCTCGGGCGCGAGCGGCCGCTTCGTCCTCTTCCATCACGCCCTGATACTCATCTGTGCGGATTTCCAATTTCGTCGAGATGTTCAACTCGTCCAACTTGTCAGAATTGAGACGTGCTACGCAATAAGGCGGTAGCATCTGAATTATAAAGACGAGTTGGGCCTTTAGAGCCTGATATGTCGCCGTCTCCTCCTCGCCAGGCTGTACCGGGGTTCCGTTCGTAAGCATGTCGCTATGCGCAGGATCCGCTGCGTATCGACTCTGACTTGACGCGGTCGGTAGTGTCAGGTTGCGATTCTTTTGGTACGAGATTAGCGTCTGGATCATGTCGGACACCTCCTGGAGGATATCGTCCACGTCCTTCTCCTCGTCCGACTTCTTTGGGCAGCAGGCGTCCTCGAGAGTAGGGTCGACCATGTCATCGTCCCAATCATCGATGACCTTTTGGATCAACTCCTCGTCCACCTGGCCGACAGGGCCGTCATTGGCCTCATCGACGTCACCTGTTGGTTCCTCCGGTAACTCGGTCTCGATCAGACGGTCCAAGCTGCGCTGACCAGCCCGTTGCCACCACATGGTTTGACTGATCAACCCTGACGAGATCATAGCTGCCGAGTCGTCCTTCGAAGGGGCGAAGCTGGAGAAAGCACCTCGGAAGAGAGCCTCCATCTCGGACATCTCGATATCTGATGAGGAGGGCTTATTCCCGGCAAGGCTGAGGGCGCGCTCGCGCTGCTTCGTCATGATCTGTGAAGGGGGCGCAGCGTTGCTGTAGTCGAGCCAACGGCCGGTGGATATCGTCTGACTGAAGTATGATCCGGCTCGGTACTTAGACTTCTCGGTCAACTCTGGACGATGCCAGCCCACCTGGACGCCCTTGGTGGTGCTCTTCGGGGCTTTGGGTGGTTGTAGAGAAGGTAGATTGCGAGGCGGGGGGAAGAGCTCGCCCAATGTCTTAGCCTTTTTATCCTTCTCGAGGGCGGAGGGGAAGAAATATGGCACAGCCTTGATCGTCTTCATGCCGTTCGGCAGCCCAGATTCCCTTAGCGGCTGGAACACGCCCTTCGCACCATCAGCAGTGCCGGCTGTCGGCTGCTGGAGACTTGAGTATAGCTGTTTCGACCTCGGCGCGTCGCCAAAGATGGTCAGGACCATGTTTCCACTCGCGTTTGATTGCAGATCGTTAGTCGAATCAAGGGATCTTAGGACTTCGGGAACATGAGTCGGCCTAGGATATGTTATTTCCCGGCGAAATAGCCCGTACGCCTTCTGCTTAAAGTTGATGATGCTAGCAATCGCGATGTCGTTTTCCTTAGGGTCCTTTCCCGGGTCGACATGTCGCAGCTCGGCCAGCTGGTCGGTGATGGAGGTCTTGATGTCGGTGATAATAGCTTCGACATCTTCGTACTCGTCGTTGGCGACTTTGTCGGCTATGGAACGGAAGGGCGTGCCGTCGACGGATTTCTGTCGCTTGGCCTCAGGTTCGTCGGAAGGGGTTGATCCTAGAAGGGGGCGCTTGAGAATAGAAGGCGTCGTGTCGAAGCTGCGTAGAACAAGGGGGTAAGCATCAAGTTCGCATGGCAAAAGTTACAGGGGTTGGGAGCCGGTATCAAATGTAGGTATTGAATGTAGGTATTAAATGTAGATAATAATAGCGCAATGGCGCAATGGTAGAAGTAGAAAGCAGGCACGGGCATGAACAAATAATAGTTATATGGATTACCTCTGAAGCAGCTCGTAGTAATCGCGAACTGTGGACCTGTCAATTTTGGTTGCGTTCGCAGAAGCGGTGCTGGCGGCGGCGACGGGGTTCGCAGGATTGGTACCATTGAGGCCGGTGCCGTTTGGCTGTTTCCCGTCGACATCGCTGGACTCGCGTTTGCGCTTGGTAGAGGAGTTGACGGTTTGCGCAGGATCCGCATCGGCGTCCAGTTGCATGGGCGTGGGCGTGGACGTGGACGTGGACGTGGACGTAGACGTGGACGTGGGCGTGGGCGTGGGCACGACGCCGTTGGGAAGTGCCACGGCGGGCGATGCCATCCTGTCCAGCGGTGCGGTGCGGTGCGGTGTGTTGTGGCGTAGTGTGGTGTGTTCCGAGTCTTTTATTTACTTCTTCCAGTTTCGGGGTGGGTTTTGCTGGTCCGTCGTCTGGCGACAACTACAAGTGCAATTGTATAGCTAGTGCCAGTAAGTGGTATAAGTAGTGCACCAGTGGTGGTTGGTGTTCGTCCCGCAAATTTGGTGGCTCGTCGCGCTGCACGGTCACGGTCGGGGGCGTTCGCGATTGAAGGCAGCCCAGGCCGTGGCAACTGGGGGAGGTTATTTTTTCGCTTGTCCTCGTTGGTGCAAGCAACTCTCCAATTTTCTCTTACTCAACTTTTGCTTCCTGCTGCACACCAACAACGTCCATCTGCCAGGACAAGCGAGAAGGGCGAAAAGAAAAAGGAAGGGAAGAAAAGAAAAAGCCTTATCCGAATCCGCCACGGGGAATCATCAGAAGGTGTCTGTGTGTTTGTGAGTGTGTCCTGGGGAATGAGGGGTTCAACTTGTCGTCAAATTCGTATGCGTTATTCCTCGATCTATTTTTCTGTCCCTGTTTTTCTTCTTCTCCTTCTTCCTCTCTTCTGACAGGATGACGAAGAATAACTTGGGTCGAGTCAAGGGGAAGGGAGAGGAGGCTGTCACGCAGCTAGAAATGAAAGTGTCTGTCTGGCTGTCTTGATTGATCGGCCTGCGAAAAAGATGACCAACGGCTAGGAATTTGACGCTAGACTTCTTTTGGTTTAGCATCACCTTTTATGCGGCACGTGACCCCAGTTTTTCCCTTCTCCGCTACAAATGCTCCCCTCCACTCCACCCTACTACTCCCTGGTACCTGCCTACCTACTTATACCTAGGTAGTTTTCTATATGCTATCCAATGCTCCAAATGG